TCTCAATGGTAGCTCTATGTGAAGCCAGGGCAGAGGGCAAGAGCAGTGTGGGCTTTGACCTGGAGTCACTAATCACACTGCCTCATCCCCCCAGCTGTGCTACCAGACCTCCAAGCCTGGCACCATCGCCTGTGAAACTTTCTGACCCGCACCACTGCTTCTGGCTGAGAGGTCCCTAAGTCACATCGGGTCTGTGAGGAAGGCCAGGCCTCAAGACCCAGGGAGTCCCGTGTGCCTTGTACATAGCTTCGTTTTCTGGGGGAGGAAATCAAAGCCTCAGTGAGAACCTCAAGTGGCTCCTATACCCCTGAGTATGCAGGACCAGCTTGCAGTGCTCTCTCGGATGATGTAGCAGGGACCACAGGAAAGGTGGTCTCTGCACCTGCCCATCTCCCCACCTGGGACCTCGGTCTCCCCACAAGAAGGAGGCAGCACAAGGCATGGCCTGGCGTCTCGCGTGTCACCTTGGCCAGGGGCAGCACCCAGAACCTGGTCTGACTCCAGATGTGCCTTCAAGGTGAGACAACAGACACCTGCAGCCTTGGAGTGGAGCCAGTGTCCTCCTTGCACTGCTGGCCTGCTCCATCCTGCCAAAGCTGGAGGAGAAACAGACTGACTTGTCTGGGAGGAAGCCGGCTTGGCCTCAGCCTGCAGGCCACCCTGCAGAGTTCAGACCTGTCAGCCTGCTTCAAACGGGCTGGTGCCATGAAACACATCTCTGTCTGCAGATGGAGAGAGACAGAGACCGCGGTTAACAGAGCTGTGTACAGAGATAGGGATCTATAGCTACCATGAGACAGAGACCTACACATAGTAGAGTCTCCCTGCATAGATGCAGATCTATCAGAAGTGCAGGTCTCTCGAGACACGACTAGGTGTCTGTGTGTCAGTGAACAGACAGATATGAATATAGGGCCACAGATAACACATTTCTCTCCCTATAGGAAGGTAGGTGGTTGGGTGGGTGGATAGACAGAGTATAGATCTCTGTAGAGAGAGGTACAGATCTGCAGATGTTGTACCTCTCTCCCTCTCCTCTGCATAGACAGGTTAGGCATGGATCTATAGACAGATAGGGAGAGAGCTCTGCATGATAGGTCTCCTTCTCCCTCTCCTCTGGTGCAGGCAGGGAGGTGGGTGGGTGAACATGCAGGTCACAGCAGCAGCCCTTTCTGTGGATGGGTGGTTAGCTGGCAGATGCAGGTACAGACCCAAAGTTTCTTTTCTTGCCCCCATACACATCTGTCCTGGATTTTTGAAGAATGTCGGTCCCTCTATGACTATGTACTCAGTAATTACGAGATCTAATTATTCCACACACACTGCTGACTTCCTGAGTGACACTGTGACTGGGCACTGCCCAGGCAACACCAAGGTGGGGTGGTGTGGACAGAGCTGGAACTGTCGCTTCTCCCAGAGCCTCGGGACTTCCACAGCCAGGAGAGAAGGAGCAGCGTCACCCTTCTTCCTTCTCTGAGCAGGCAGGGAGCCCAGCGCACGCCTTGTGTCCTGTGCAGCACTGCCAACCTTCCCTGGGTGGAGTTGTGTTCCCAAACGCCTTGGAAGTGCTGCCTGTGCCTGTGGGATTTCCCTCGTGCTCTCCTTGGCTCCATTTCCAGCCCTCTCTGCCTTGCGGCTGCTTCCCAAGAAGAGGAGTGGGCTGGATCCCGGCTCTTCCGCCCAGGCCTCTGTCGCCGGCTGCTGTCCCCTCCTGGCCTGGCAGTGCCTGCAGGCCACTCTCCCAGAGCCCTGGTCTCCACTGGCTGGGCTCCTTGGTGAGTTCCCGCCTAGGTTGGCTCCGTGCAGCGTGCAATTATCCCCGAGGGTGCCGAGCTCTCTCCTAGCCCAAGGACTTGGCAGTGCCCAGGCCCCGTGGGGAGCTGAGGCCCTCATGGCCTCCTTGTTGGGCAGATAAGCGCCAAGCTCCCCGCCTTGACCATACATTCGAGCTTAGCTCTCATCATCCAATTATGCCTGGGCTTGGGGGCCAGTGAGCTGTGCAGACACAGGGAGGGCCTGGCTCTGCAGCCAGCTGCTCACCCCTGGGGAGCTGTCTGCACCCTGCTCTTGGGCCATCCCTGCACAGAGATCCAGGCCCGGGCCGGTGTGGCCGCCACTGGGGCATCGGACCTTCTGAGCCCTGCGCTGCGGCAGGATGTGGGGACAGCTCATGATTCAGCCTGAAGAGGGTCTCATGTACATAGCACCCAGCGGTCAGGGCTGTCAGGATGAGAGGGCACAAGGATGTGCCAAGGTCAGCAGGAAGGGGGAAGGATGGGCACAAGGTGTGGGGACTGTGGATGGCATGGAGTGAGTGCCGGGAGGCCTGGGGTGTCCAGGGTGTGGGCGGCAGGGCCAGTGCCTGAGCCCCAATCTAGCGGGTCAGGATGAGGGAGAGGGGCACTGTTCTGGGCGGTGAGTGGGTGCTGTTGATGGTGGGTGGGTGCACTGTGGGTCCTCTGGCAGTGGTTCTGCCTGCATGGTGTCCTCCCCCGGGAGAAATGCACCCTTCCCGGACAGCTCTCTTGTCCTGCCCTAGCGGAAAGTGCCCTGGTCCTGGTCCCTGCTGGCCCATGTGTCTGTGGAGGTCCCTGACCTTGGCTGGTGTTTGCTGTGCTGCTTGGAACAGTGTAGCTGCTCAGCAGCGCAGCCAATAGCCTGACCAGCAGTGCGGTGGGGTAGATGGGCTGTGCCCGTGTCAGGACGTGGACCCTGCTGGGCTCAGCACCTCTCGTCGTGGTTGATGTGTGGCTTCCAACCCATGCATCCGGACACTTTGGAACCAAGGCTGTGTGTCCCCTGAGAAGCGCATGGTTTCAAAATGGCACATATGAGTCGCTGCCATTGGGCACTGGCTGCATGTGAGTGAGTTCCAGGGCACTGACCTCCTGTTTCCCACAGCTGAGGATGCTCTCCGTGGAGCCTGGATGATTTCATCAGAGAAGGGTTTCTAGGCAACCTGGGCTGCAGGGGAGGTCAGTGCCTGGCCAGTCACTGCGGGGTAGAGAGGCCCTGACCCTATTTTGCTTCGCTCTGAGCCCAAGGTTGGGACAAGTGATGGCTGTGGCTCCATCCTGCCAGGGAGAGGTACTGCCTTGGTGCTGGTCATTGGGGCCTGCGAGGGGTTGGGGAGCCTGGGGCCCAGGATGCCGAGTGTGCAGGTGCGTAGGGCCGGAGTCTGTTGGGGACATGCCAAGTCTAGTACGCACATGCAGGAAAAGCCATTGGCTGTCACCTTGGCCCCAGCAGAGGGTGGGATGAGGCAGTCCGGTGTCACACATGTGAGTCAGAGGTGAGAAATTGGTGATTCCCAGGGAGAGCAAGGGGCCAGGGTGGGCCGACCTGAGGCGCTCTCTGCCCTGGGCCTTCCTCTCTGGCTGCACTGTTGGGCTTCTGTGCTGGCCTCTGGGGGAAGGGGGACAGGGCGTGTGTGAAAATGAGACATTAACTTCGGTGACTGCCCTGGCTCTGAATGTGGATTAGAGCCCCTCGGGCCTTCGGCTGGCCACCCCACTGGGGCTGGGACAACGACCCGACCTGGCATTGCAGAGGCCTGGTGGCCGGTGCTGCCATGGGAAATCGTCTCCTGTCTTCTGTCACCCTTTCTCTGTGCTCAATAAAGAAGATAACAATCGGCCACGACCTGCTCGTGCTCCAACTGGCTGCTTGGCCAGAAGCCGCGGGTGGGGGCTCGATTTGTGGAGAGCAGGCACAAGGCCCCAGCTCAGCCATCTTGGCATTGTCGTGGAGATTCTCTTTAATTAAAAGTCTGCCTTGGAGTATGTCAAGTGCGCCAGTATTTTCACCATTCTTCTTATCTCTATGGCAACGAAAATATTTCAACATTTACATGGACATCATCTTCTTTGCTAATGTGCTATCTGAACTGCGTGTGCTGAGGAGGGAGCTGTGCAAGGGCCGCTGGCTGGGGATGCTGGAGTTGCCAAGACAACCAAGGGGCCTAAAGAAGTCCTCACCGTGGTGCTAAATGGAAGCTTTAAATTAATTCGCTCCCGTGTGTTTTTGTAGCTTATGTTGTTAATTGAAATAATAGGAGTGACCTTCCGTGTACATCCGGAGCACCTGTCCTATTAAAACCGCCAGTGCTACTTGCTTAAGTGCACCCTCATCCATCAGGGAAATCTAGCGTGAAATGGGCTGGGAGGTGCACGTCTCACGGCTGCGTGGCCACCGGAGTGCTGGGGGAGGCGGCGCTTCCTGTCAGGCTCCCAACACCAGCAGTAACATTTTGTATTTTAAAGTCCGTGGATCTCTCCATTCCCAAGGCCCTGAGCCCGGCAGCCTGCATGCATGGGGAGGAGGCCAGTGTTGCTGCTGCACGGAGGGTTCTGGCAAGGCTGAGCGGGGGGGGCCACACTGGCCTCTGGGCCAGCTCCCGAACAGCTGGTACGTCTCAAGGCTGCGTGGCCACCGGAGTGCTGGGGGAGGCGGCGCTTCCTGTCAGGCTCCCAACACCAGCAGTAACATTTTGTATTTTAAAGTCCGTGGATCTCTCCATTCCCAAGGCCCTGAGCCCGGCAGCCTGCATGCATGGGGAGGAGGCCAGTGTTGCTGCTGCACGGAGGGTTCTGGCAAGGCTGAGCGGGGGGGGCCACCCTGGCCTCTGGGCCAGCTCCCTGGAACAGCTGGAGGATGGCGTGATCTCTGCCTTGCCCAGGGCCTGTTCCCGAGCTCCAGGGCCCAGGGAGCTGCACCTTGGGGTCCTGAGTGGCTTCCTTGGAGATGAGTCTGGGGTGGGCAGATGCGGGGGTGGGAAGAGGAGCAGAGACGGGCCTAGGGGTGCTTGTGACTCTGCTCCTGAGAACATCCCGCCCGGACCTAGGGGCCAGAGCTAAAAGTTAACATCGGGAACTTGGGGGTTCAGAAGGAGAAAACAGACTCAGTAGGATCCAGAATATAAATCACCACTGGCTGCCCAAATGGCTCTGCTCTTTGGGTAGACCGGGTGGGAAGCGACCAGACTGAGCTGGAACAGGATCTCTGTGTGACTTGTCCGGACTGGGTTGGGGCGCTGTACCAGGCAGTGCGCTGGCTCCTGTTCACGCTGAGTGGATGTGGGGTGGCAGCCAGGCCTGCTTGCTCCTCCTGCAGGACCCAGGCTGTGGACTGGGCTCATCTGCCTGGGATGGTACAGGTGAGAGGAAGCCTGGGGGTGGGTGAGCAGGGACAAGGGAAGAGGAGGAAGGGGGCACGGCGAACACCAGGAGGGGCTTCTGATTTCCCACTCTCCACCTTTGTGCAAGACCCACGCTTCGATGTGAGTGTAATTTGACCTTTTCTTTCGTCCTGTGTATACCACAATCTGAGTGGTGGATTTAATTCCTGTCACATCTATATCTGTAGAACACAAAACTATCAACGACCCAGCAACTCGGTGGCCCTCTCCACTTTGTTTGGAAGGACTCATTTCCAGGGTGCCCCCTCCTGGGAATCGTAGCCAGGTATGGAAGCAGATACACAGGACCTGCTGCAGGAGAGGCTGCAGTGAGAGGTGGGCTGGAGCGGATCCAGGCTGCAGGCAGAAAGTACACTTGCTTGGGAGTCACAGACCCCAGTGCTTCCTGCCAGGCCCCTCCTGAGTTGTACCTACCTGCCCGCCACCCATCTGGAGGAAGCACTGGCTGGCCTCTGCCTCCCCGAGACAAGGTGCCCTCTCACCACAAGCCCCTCACCCAGCAGGGTGAGGAAACCCTGCAGCAGACCCCGCAGAGCTGGCCTGGGAGTGGCGGGGCTGGGAGAGGTTCCAGGGCCAATGGCCAGGGCCCTCTGGGATTGGTAATTACACTAATGGTTTTCTGACTGCTGATTTTAAAGGCATTACAGGAGGGCTTTCAAAATGATGACTTTTCCTTTGTAGCTGCGATAGGCACTGTCTTTTCATGCTTTCAGCTAAACACAGAGCTGACCTAAGCATGGATCTCAGATGCACAACCTGGCCGGTGAGGGGTCTGGCGCGTCTGGTGGTGTGGGGGAGGTGGCCTCAGCTGGGTTGGGCTGTGACCTCTGTGGGTAGGGCCTGGCTTCTATTGTCCTTGTGTTCGTGAAAAGATGGCGCAATACCACTTTGTTGGAGCAGATAAGATTTCCCCCCAATATAAAACTTATTTCCTCCTCAAAAAATATCACGTCTTTGTACCCATACAGGCTCGACCTCCATCACACAGAGATGCTTGGCAGATTTGCTTCCAGGAATAATAAGTAATAAGAAACACATAGCATCACTAACATTTTCAGCTTCTGTTGTAAAATTATTGTCATTTAAACAGCTCTCTTCAAATTTTCTCCTAACAGTTTTTTTTAAGTTTTCAAGTGTTTGTGTATCAACACACAGTTAGTGTTGAAATAAGAGTTTTAATGCTCAGAACACATTGGAATACCCACACCTGCCCAGCACCAATCTGTGCACGTGTCGAAGAGAAAGACTGGTGGGGTTGGATGGTGTTCTGCAGGAGGACGTATGCTTAAGAGGTAGCGATCCCAAGCTCTCGGGTGCGTGTACCAAGGCCAACACGATAGACCTTGGGAACTTTTCTGAGTAAATAATGGGGGGCTCAGAGGTGCCGGAGCAGAGGGAACTGTGGAGGGCCAGATGCACCGGGTAGGGTCCATACTCACTGTTGCTCCCCACCAGCTGCTGTGACCCCAGGACCTGGTGTGAGCAGGCACCGGGCCTTCCTGCCAGATTCCCGCTGGTGCTGGTGATCAGAGCAGAAAAAGGAAGTTGTGGCTTCCAATGCGGCTCGTTTCATTTTCCTTCTTGGATTCACTAAGTTCATTATTGCTTCCCAGTGATTTTTCCCATACCTTTGTATATTTAATTTCCTTTTTAATAGATAAACTGTCATGGGAGGTTACACAAGGCATTATTATTCAAGGGAATGTTTATATCACTCAGATAGATATCGTAGAGAATTACAGATCGGAGAGTATCTATTACATATATGAGTGAGGAAAATGACTGTGTTACCAAGTAAATACATGCTATATTTAAATACCGTGATAACAATCACCAACCACCAAGTTTTTCCTTGGTGTTTTGAAATTAAATATACAGAAAGGCAAATTAATATTTAAACTCTGTATAATTTTGAGGATCCATATCTGTATGACAAAGAGAGGGGACTCCAGGCACGCCGGGGTGAGAGGGTATCGTGACTGTATCCACTGGTGGAGGCCAGCGAGTCACACCACAGAGGGGACCCGCCTGGCTGCAGGTGACACCCGAGCAGTGGAGATAATTCCCTTATTGCTATAGCACCATTGCCGCGGCTTCTTTGTGGGCATCGTGTAAAGTACTTGAAACAAAACAATTTGTGATCTCATAACTGTAGGGACCCAGGCTGCAGGGAGGACAGGCTGAACTTGGCTGGGTAATTACGGGGCAGACGGAAAACATGGGGTCGCTTTATGTGGGCCAGGAGTGGGAGCCGAATGGAACGAGGCCCAGGAGGGAAGTGTGGAGCCGACCAGGCTGGGGCGGGGCGGGAGGGCTGCGAGGCGTGGGGCACCATCCGGAGCCGCTTTCACGTGGCCAAGCAGAACAAGGCCCGGTGTCTGTACCTGCACCAGCTCTTTGTCGGGATCTACGGTCTGTCCAGAAGGCGGACGCCACAGGTCCTTGGCAGGTCTGCCTCAAAGTCCTCTGTGATGAAATGAGTGAAGGACGCCCCACAGTGGGGCTACATCTCTTGAAGCATGGAGTCGGCTGGAAGATACACCTCTCTCCACGCCTTCTCCTTTTCCTTAGGGAAGGAGGGGGGAGGGGGAGTGAGCCGAGAGCAGTTGGTGCTGGCAGCAAGCGTGTCTCAAGAGGCCGAGTGGCCAGAGACCCTAGAGCTCTCCTGCACCTGGGAAGAGCTCACAAAGCGCTCCCGTGTCTGGAGGACACTGCCTCTTCATTTCCTGTGTCTCATGAGGCGCTGACACACCGAGATGGTGCATTGACACATCTGTCCTCCTGCTGGTAAAAGAGTCCTTCTGCGGTGGACTAGGGTCTCATCGAGCCACTTCAGAATGCTCGGAACTGTCAGCCTCCAGAGTCTCTGTGGTCAGGTTGAAGCGCCTCTGTTTGGTGTTTGTGTGGACAGACAGGTTCCTCGTAGAAGTCTTCACCCGAGAAACACTCCTGCTGGTCAGCGTCCTGGTTCCCTGAAACCTTTTCCTTCTAATTTTAGCCACTAACAATAATGAATATGACAGTGTGATATGTTTTATATAAAATATGATCTCTTAATATGATAAAGATATACTATATATCTTCAATAAGTCCTGGTAGGTTCCAGAAATTTCAGATTTCTTTAATCCAGAATCTTGTGTGAGATGTGATTAAAAAGCACAGTATGTGTTTAAATAAAATACTTATTAGAGTAGAAGACATATTGCCACGAGTCCTCCTCAGACCTCCCTCTTGCTTCGGACACATGCATCCCATCATTCTTGCTACTTTCTGCGGGCGTTCTGGAAGTCCTCTTTCTCGGGTGTCTTCAGTTGTGCTGTGAGTGTACAATGTAAACACTCCCTGTAGTTTTAATCAGCCCGTTTACTAGCAGACATCCTGCCGGGCGAGCAGTGCTCCTTGCATTCACCGTGCGTGGTGGGACCGTGTGGCTCTCGGAGGGTTCCTGGTCCATGTGGAGCTCACACGTGGTGCTGAGCGGGCTGGATCTCTGAATCTGGGCTGTGAGGCGTCATGCCCTTCCCCAGCCCGTGCTGTCCCCAGCACCGACTTAGGTCCAGATGTCCAGAGAAGTGTCTGAGCTCCTGGCTCTAGCATTTCTGTCCTCCCAACCACCTGCCCCTCAGGGGCTCGATAGACACCAACTACACAGTGACAAAGGGCCACACGGGGACTCGAGGTTCCTGGTGTCACCAAGGCAAGATTCACCCAACACGGACAGCAGGCCTCTGTGATAAAAGTGACCCTCGTAAGTGACAGGGATGACTGCCCCACTGTGAGGCCCAGCTGCACTTCCTGTGGCCCTTTCTCTGTCTCAGTGCTGTCCGGGAGCAGAGCCCTGTGAGTTTCATTGCCCGCACTACAAAATGCAGTCCTCCTCGCTCTGCGCCCCGCCCCCAGCGCCCCTCCTTTCTCTCTCCTCGCGACAGCACTTCCGTGGGTGCCTATAGTGCACATGGGTACGTGGGCGAATGCACAGTGCACATACATGCTTGTACACACATGTACATGGCAACACACCTTTGCAAGTGCATGGCTACACCAGCCCAGGTGCCCCTCAGACAGCTCCCCAGTGCTGCCCAGAACCGGTCGAAGGGGCACAACGAGCTGTGGGCGAGGCTGTCTCCGGGTGTCGCCATCCCGTGCCAGCTTCCTGCTGGGAGAGGAGACACATGTTCTGCAGGTGGCCCTCTGCATGGGGCTGAGGGGCTGGGACGTTGACCCAGGGAGGAGAGAGCTGGTTGGCCGAGGGACAGATACCTTGGAGGCTTGCTGTGGGCAGTGAGGCTGTGACTGCCAGGGTGGGAGCGGCTTGTGCCTGGGTTCCTGCTGGGTCCCAGAAGCTACACTTCACAGGCGCTGGTTACAGCCATGTTGTTACAGCCGGTGCTAGCTCTGTGGTTCGTGCAGGGGTTATGGGTGTGGACAAGGGGTAGGGAGGCCCAGACTGAAATTCTGGCCGAGTCCTGTGACATCGGAGTGGGTGTCATGGACCGGCAAGCAGAAGGTGGAGCTGCTCAACTCTGAGCACCTTAGGTGAAGCTGTCCGTGTGAACTCACACCCAGCTTGGCATAGAGAAGTAGTTGGAGGTGTGGCACGCAAGCCAGCTGGTGTGTGCTTGTGTGTTAGCCGGAAGCAACTAGAGACTGGGGTCCCCAGCACCAGCAAGCTGTTCCCCAGCAGAATGACCCAGGGCTTCTCGGGACACCTGGCTGCAGGTGTGGCTCCTGAGGGAGGGCCAGGCTTGGGCAACTCCAGACAGCGGCATGGATGCGACAAAAAGGTTAAGTCAGGGGCACAGCGCCTGGACCAGCGCCCAAGGCGATGGAACTCGAGAAACTTAGAGTCCCCCTCTCTGCTGTTTCGTCAACCGTGGTCTAAAAATTAAATGGAAAAATTCACAAATAGGCAATCTTAAGTAATTTTTGTTACAGAACATCCTTTTACTCATTTGGTTCTACTATGAATTATTGCTATCAGGCACTCTCTATGCCTGATTTCTAGGTTAGCCATTGGCATGAGTGGGTACGTAGAGGCACAGTCAGAATGACCGGGCTCGGTGCTCCCCTGGGTCCAGGCAGCGTCCAGAAGTGTGGCCCTCTAAGAAGGGGGCAGGCGCTGCACTGCAGGAAAGTAGCCACCAGTCCACACGGTGCTCCTGATCAAGTGTTCCCATCATCCTGTAGACACTGCCTTCCAAGGGTGGTGGCGACTCTGCTCTTGAAGACAAGGCCTGTGCCAGGTGAGCGTTATCTACACACCTCTGCCTGCAGGTGACCAAAAACGGTGTGTTCCACATACCCTGGCATGGAAACGCTCCTGCTCCCACCATCTTCCTCTCTTGAACCAAATCCTCTGCACATCCCTGATCCACAGCCCCCGGGACCATGTGGCCCCCGACCACAAGGAGTGTCTGAGAACCTGCCACCCCTCCAGGGGCCTGAGGAGGCAGTGCTGGTGTTGTAAGGGGCCCGGGATGGATCCCTGGACGGAGCGGGGCTCTAGGTAGAAACCCAGGAAACCCGAAGAAAGCACAGCCCTGAGTTAATAATGGCGTGTCCCTGTGGGTTCCTTGAGACACGGGGCAGGAGAAGCCGGGGTGTCGTGTTGGAGCTCTCAGCAGAGCCCTCAAACCCAGATTGGCTGTGCAGCAGAAACCTTGTCCTCAGAGGTCCTGGTGCCGTGGAAGCTGTCTCCGTGGCTGCGTGTGTCCCTTGGGGTGTGGGGAGTGTCAGGGCTCTGGCTCATGGGCCTGGCAGTGCGGTATGAGTTGGCGTGGGGGTGGCAGGGAGCCCCACGGCCCTTCTGCAGCCTGGAGCCAGCTGGCTTTCCAGCTGCTGTTCCTGTGCTGACATCCTCCAGGTGGGCCCCGCCAGGGCTGGGTGGCCCCGGAACTTGCTGTGGGCATGGAGCTGCCGTCAGAAGCCTGAGGTGACGGGCCAGGCTGGGTGCTGCTCAGCCAGGTGCTTCCTGGTCCATCCTCAGCACGGAGAGGACAGGAAAACAGCAAATGCGAGGCGAGTCCCTTCCTGTCTCCTCGCCCCACTCTCCTGGGTCTGGTGTCTCCTTCCCTCTGGGTGCTGCACACTGTGGCCACAGCTGCCCAACCCCCAACCCCCTGCCCGGACTCTGGAGGGCTCCGTGGAGCCGAACTCAGTCCTTCCCCTCAGAGGGGGCGGGGACCACCCTTTCAGCCTCAGAATCCCCAGGCATCCCGTGGGGTGTCTGCACACCAGCTCCCCAGCCAGCGCGGAGGGAGGAGCGGGCAGTGTCCTGGGTTTCAGAGTTGATGGGAGGAACCTGGGGTGAGGCTGAGGGCAGAGCCGTGCAGGGTGGGGGTGCAGATGTGAGTGGCACTGGGTGGGAGTCCCAGCGAGGGTGTGGGGTCCCTGTCGGGCCTGCAGCTCCTCCCATCCTTGCACGCTCCTCAGCAGGTGGGGCTGTGCGGGTGGGGACTTCGGGCCCTGGGTCGGATCCAGGCCTGACCTGGAGATGGGGATGCTGTGTGGCCACACATCAGGCTATGGCGTCAGAGTGGACACGGGATGGTCCCGAGGCTGTGGGGCAGAGGCAGCCATGCCACGTCCCCGCGTGCTGTTCCCACCTGGTGACCTCTGCCCAGAAGACAGAGTGCAGGCGGCTAGTGCAGCAGCCACCTTCTCCACGGCCGGTGACAGCTTCGTGGGGACACGTGTGTGCCTGAGCTTCCCAGTGCCCCTGGGCTCATGGAGGGAGACCCTGCACACCTGCCTTTGCTCAGCGACTCAGCGGGCTCCAGGAGGAGGAACTCACACGCACACCCACACTCTCACTAACAGACACACACATGCAAATGTGCCCACAGTATCATTAGCACACACACTCACACTCACACCCTCACCACACTCACGTGTACAGGCTCACACACACACATGCTCAGACACGTACTTACACGCACTTACCCTCAACACTCTCATTATCACACTCACACACTCACGTGCATACACACAGTCGCTAACACAGCCTCACTAACATACCTACACATACACTCCCTAACACATTCTCAGTAACACACGCACACGCCCACATTCACTCATGTCCCGGGAGCGATGGGCAGCCTCGTGTTTAGGCTGTGGCAGAGCAAGGAGGCTGAGGTGGGAGAGTTCCGCTCAGTGAGGGAGCCATACCCAGTGCAGGGAACTCTTCCCTCGTTCTGGGCTACCCGGCAACCCTTACCAGGGACCAGAGGGGCCAGCACCAGTGCAGCTCCCGAAGGCCCAGTGCTGGGGCCTGCAGAGTACTGGCTGTCCACCTCGGACCGGCGGATGGGGAGAGCTGTGTGCACCCAAGCTGCCTCTCAGGACGCCCTCACCTTGCACCTGTCCCACTGTGCCAGCGTCCATCAGAGGTCACGGGTGTCTGTCAGGGCCAGAGTCAGCACCAATTCGTGCTGCTCACTGCGCCTCCCGTAACTGCCAGTCGCTGGGCCATCCAGTGCCACGATACTAAATACCACTGTGGCCACCACAGACAGCATTGCGGAGGCCGAGGGAAAGCAGTATCTAGCGCCCTGTGGCGATAAATGGACGAGCAGTACTGGTTATGAAGGAGATTTTAATGGGAGGGTTTGGATCACAATTGCATGTATTTTAAGACTTACGTCAAGTATTCTGTGTTAAGTGTTACTCTATTACAGGTTACATAATAAGGGTTCTATATTAAGTATTAGTTGTAGAATATTTTTGGCAAAAGACTTTAAAAATAGGAGTAATTACACGGTAAGTTTTTAGTTCTTTTAAAAAGTTTTCTCTCCTGTTAGGAAAGGTGTCTCTGAAGAAGTGAAGAAGTTGGTGCATTTGAAAGAACATGAACAAGAAGTCAGTGCTGGGGTCCTGGGGTTCTGGGGTCGAGGGATGGGATGCGTCCACACAGCAGCCCGGCATCACCAGTGTAGGTCCCCTCCTCTCCTGGGGGCAGCGAGAGGCACCCAGCATAGGCTGGGGTTGGGGCAAGAGGCTGCTGCTGGTGCTTCAGGGGAGGCAGGGCAGGGGCGTGGATGGGGGCAGGCGAGAAGCAGTGGGCACAGCCTTCTGCCTTCAGCCCATGTCCCTACGGTGGGCACGGATGTTCCTGGGACTCGAGGCCTAGGGCTGGGGGATCGTCAGCACCTTGTCCATCTGACCTGGGAAAATCAGAAACGAGATACCTACAAACTGAAATTTAAACTTTTTCTTTACTGTTCTGAAAACATAAAATTAGGTCGCTTATATTAATGGTTATGTTTAGTTTTTGCTAAAATGGCATCACATTTGGGAATAGCTCGTGAGGTAACACTCTTATGAGGAATCCTGAGTATCGTGATGGTCTGGACAGCACCAGCAATCATAGACCCTGGGAGTTGCTGTGGCCAAACTGCAGAAATGCAGGACTGCATGCATCTGCGGGTTGGGCCCCTCATGACTGCCTCTTCCTTTCTCTCTGCCGCTCGCTCTCCCAGAGCCAGGACAGCGCTGCTGTGATTTCCGTTGTACCAAGGGGACAGTGGTGTCGGCACCTCCTCCCGTACACGGCTGTGAAGGCCCAGCCGGTCAGTGCAGCCGTGATCACCATCCGTGTCTCACAGGAAGTCCTCCCAGAAGCCCTGTGGCCAGCTTTCGCGTGGGATCGTGCGGGAGCTTTGGCCAGGGGTCATGTGTGGTACTCGGCTGTAGCTGCTTTGCAGCCGTCAGCCATGGGAACCGTGTGGGTCAAAGGGGTCATAGGAGAGGCCCAGGAGTGACGGGACCCTCGGCGCTGGAGCCCCTCAGTGTGGTCCTCTGGCAGGGACTGAGGGACAGGCTTGGGCCTCACCGCGGGGACCAGCTCCCTGTCTGGTTCCTCCCAGACTAGAATCAGGTCGTGTCTGCAATGCTGCTTTAGAATGAATTGGGATTGTCCCTATTTGTCATTTTATTAGCGACTCATTACAGCCATTTCTTTGGGATTAAAAGGAGAAGAAAGAGGGAACGTAAGTAAAAAGAGTAAGCTAATGGCCTATCCAGAATGCTGCGGCAATTCGTGGCAGCTTGAATGGAGTAACAGAATTACCATCATGTTAAATTTAACACTTTTTATTTTAGCAATACGATCGCCCGATCATATCTTCAGGTGCAGCCAGCGTTACAAAAGTAATTTTTATAATTGTAAATTCATTCTGTCTCAGGTGGCTCAGGATGACTTTGGAGACCCTATTACCAAATTTCCATCTTCAAAATTACTTTCTGCGGTGACATGGGCCCCAGTGTGTGAGAAGACAGGGAGGAAGCTCTGCTCTCAGCTTCGGTGTGCGAATCGCATGATGCTTTTCTTCTGCAGGTGTCTGCCTGTGTCTGTTCTCCTCCCGTGCTGGGTGTCCAGGAGCTGTCTTCTGATGTCACCGTGTCCTTCTCCCTCCGACATTGCTGCTAGAACCTGGAGTGGAAGAGAAGGCGCCTGGGGAACCCACATGACAATGAGCCCTACCCACTGGGACAGCCGCGTGTGGCCCGTGGGCCTCGCTGTGATGTGGAGCAGGACCCCTGCTCCCCTGGCCCACTTATCTCAGTCTTGGCACTGCGTCTGTGCTGTCTCCGCATGTGAGAACAAGGAACACTCAAGGATGCACGGAGGGTATTTCTCTCTGCCCTGATAGCTCCTTGCTGAGAGAAAATGGGGGAAAGCTGGGCCCAGCTACAGCCCCCACACCCTGGGCCTCTCTGCAGGGTTGGGCAGGGCGGCTTCCCAAGAATGCGCTGCTGTGGATACTGGGCAGGATGGCTCTGAGGAAGCAGGCACGCGGTGGCACCTGCAGAGGCTGCTGCTCTTCACGGCCCTGAGCACAGAGCCTGTTGACTGGGAGCAGAGTGGAGTAGATGACTCTCTTCCAGGCTGCAGACCTGAGCCTGGGGCCCCAGAGGAGTCACAGGGCCTAAGGTAAGAATGTCCCGTGTCACCCCTCTTCCGCACAGGGCCTGCCGCAGGATTGGAAATGGTCATAAGCACTTGCAGTGGGGCTGTTCTGGCGTGGTAGCTGCTACCCAGGTGTCCTTGGCAGTGGTGACCTGGGACAGCGTCACTGCTTCCTCTTGTGTACAACCAGAGTTCTTGGGATTCTCTTCCAGGAGCTTCTCCAGAAGTGGGTAGACAGGAGGAAAGAACTCAGCTCTGGAGCCTGCCAGGTGTACCAAGTGAAATAAAAAAGTAAGGTGACACGGTGGTCTTCACTGTGAGAGTGGCATGATCACCAGCTTTGGCGTCAGCATGGGACAAGCCTCAAACTGTCCCTTGTGGTCGTCCGTTGCCAAAGACCCTTGGGTCAGGCTCCAGTCCCCACTGCCCAGTGTGCGACGCAGGCCTGAGAAAAGGAATGCCCTGGGAGACAGAACTAAGAGAGAAAGTGGGGCCGGGATGACCAAGGCCAGTGCAACCCACAAAGGCACCGCACAGTCCCAGGCACTGACTTCCTGGCAATCAGTTGTGGTAAAGGCGATGGTGGTTTCTATGGAAATGAATGTAAACATGGCTCAGAAAGAACAAGACAAAGCATTCTCGACTTAGGAACAGAATAGACAAGATACATGACTGTGATTAGAACATTGTCCTTCTAGTCTGAAGATTTGGTTGTGGGAACAGAATTTGGGTGTGAGTTACTCTGACCTCGGCACAGACTCAACTTCTGTAAACAGCCGATTGTGGGGCTGACTCTTTACAGCCTGTGGTTGAGAGATGTGTCGTCAAATGTGCCGTAAATCTGGGTCAGGAAGAGTGCATTTCTTTGGAGTTCATGATCATGCCACTTCAGGTGCAGCTTTGTAAGAAATGTCATTGTGGGAGATGAAACGTGGGTCTGCAGTCCTGGACTTGAGACCCATGTTGAGAGCTCTCCCTGGACACCCAGTTCTCCATGTGCAGAAATGCACTAAGTGATGGCCAGGTGAATCTGGCTGAGGTGGGATTGTTGAGCTGAGTTTGTACCCAGGAACACTGTGGTGCATTCTGAATATTGTAAGGGCTCGATAGTGTTCAGGAAACAATGTGTATAGAAAACATCTCAAGAGTTGGCAAAACATCCTTTCATCATGGCAAAATGTCGTGTCACACATTGTTTCTGGTATAGATTCTGGTACTATTTCTGTCAGATAAAAACATGACAGTGTGTCCTTGTCCACCTTGTTCACTGGATCTGGCACCATGTGACTCCTGGCTCTTCCCCAAGGTCAAAATGATCATGAAGGGGAAAGGTTTTGTATCAGTTCAGGACATCAAGGCAGCCAGAACAGAGAAACAGGAAAGAGGACTCCAGAGCTGCTGCAGGAAGTAGCAGAAATGATGGGATGAGTGTGTTCAAAGCAAGGGGGAGGTTTGGAGGGGACTCAGGGCATTGTGTTTCACTGTGCTAATTTTAAAAAGGTAGACATTCACACCCTGTACCTTAGTGAGCCTTTGCCCTGACGCACTGCGGAGGTGCCCAGTCACCCTGTGGGACCAGCGCACAGCCCCTCCAGGGCCACGGGGGAAGTCACTCCAGCCAGCAGGGCCAGCGCCACATGCGTGCTCTGCACCACATGCCAAGCACAAACCACTCAAAACGGAGCCAGCCTCCTGTGAGTGACCGTTCCTTCTAGATGGCAAGCAGGTTATCTAAGGGAATAAGCAATGTGTGTTTCCTAGGGCTGGGTGCAACTCTGGGTGTCCCGTGTCCCCTGTTGTTACACATATTAGAAGTGTGCCATTTGATGTGGGCAGAGGGGGCCTAAGCGACAGGGACATGCACATTTCCCAGGTGGAGGGTGGGAGCGATCGGGCGCTCAGACTGAAGGCACTTGGGTGAGGGGGACCCTGGGCCGGGCCCAGCATTTGCAAGGACATGGGCATGCATTGTTGCCCTCATCTTCAGAGGAAAGAAACCCTCACTGATGTCTTGGAAAGCTGTTTTCAGTAAGCTGTGTTCTCATGACCTCCACAGTCACCAGTGCCACATCCTCTGCACTTAATCTGCTCCCTGGCCACCCAGCCCCCAGCGTCCAGTGCGGTCCTCATCAGATGACCAATAACAAATGACGGAGAAACCAGTGGAGGAACCTGGCAGTTATAGGTTCCAAAAATCATTGTGTTGACTACTTCATTTCTGGATGAAGAGGAGTATTGTGATGTCTTGCTGCAAGTTTGTCTCTGGGATCTCATGGTCAAGACACCTGGGCTTATTCCATAGCCAGTGCCAGAGTTAGATGGAGCCCGTGTGGTGACATCAGTGATGCCAACGGCAGCCGTGCTCCCTGCCCGCGCCTCTGCTCTGGGCTGAGCGTGCCTAGTACTCGGGCTGGCTGAGAGCCCACTTAGTGGGAGTTGGAAGGAGGTGCTGGTGGCCTGGGTAGAACTGGGCAGCGCTGGTCCCCACTGTGACCAGAGGGGGCGCTCCTTCCAGAGGCGGAGCCCACTCTAGGGTGTCGGCGGATCATTTGCATGACAGTGTCCCCAGCACCAGGAAGATGTCTGCAGTCCAAGAGAATTCACACTTTAAAGTCAACACAAAGGAGCCGGGTGTGGTGGTGCAAGCCTGGAATCCCAGCACTCTGGAGTCTGAGGCAGCAGGATCACTGAGTTCAAGACCAGCCTGTGCTACATAGTGAGTTTCGGGTCAGTCTCAGCTACACAGTGACACCCTGTCTCAAAAACACAAAACAAAACAAACAAACAAAAAACAAAACAAAACAAGAAGAACAACAAAAATAAAGTCAACGTGGAGAAATAAAAGGATCACTTCTATTTGCTGTTTTGTCTTTTTTGTTTTTGGTACCGGGGATTGAACTTGGGTCCTTGTATTTGCAAGGCAGGCCACTGAAACGCTGAACTAAATCCCTAGCCCTTGCTGTTTTGTTTTAATGTACTCGATTATAACTAAATTCAAAACGAAATCTGATGCCATATTAGAGTACTAACATAGATGGGACTACAGTTCATGGTGCTGAATAAACTTGGTTTATGCTCTGAAGGACAGGGTCCAAGCTTCTGATTTGCTTCTCTTTGATGAACTAGAACCAAAGAAAAATCAACTTCCTCCTAATTTATGAAAGAAACTGAGTTAAACCTGGTATCGAAGCCACTGTTTCGAGGGGTGTCCGGAGTCCAAGCTCCCCTAAGAGAAGGCACCCATGATGGTGCCGTGGGTGTGTCCTTGCGCATGCGTGCGTGTGTGCATTTGTGCGACCCGTGTGCGCACACTGCATCATGGTGCTTCAGGGGTGGTCCCCTCCGTGGTTCAGGGTGTCCAACAGATGGATATAAATACTGTATTAGGCAAGCTGGTGGGGCTCTGAGGACTGTACGTCTTATCAAGTTGACCCTTATAATTATGCTGTCTTCTGCAGCCATGGGATCTCTTTAATTTTGCAGTTCTTTGGTAAATGTTGAACAGGGAGAAGTACAGAGCTGTAAGCAAAGGTGGAGGATAAAGACCGCGCAAACAGCTCCTACGTGTGCAGATGCTGTCCCTCACCTGAGTGGAGGAGATGTGGGGAGAAGGCGCCTCGGTCCCAGGGTGATGGGTCTCCCCACTTCTGACCTTTGCACTGCAACCTTCTGTCCCAGGCGCTGGGCTCTCCTCTCCTCTTATTGTGCCAGGGAACTTTGGCACAAGGCCCGGGCTTGGGGCTGACGGTCAGAGGTGGCTGGTGGTTATCTGTCTGTCGTCACGTGAGTCACGGCCCCCAAAGTCCCTGCACAGCCACCAACGGTGAAGCGCCAGGCTGTGCACACGGTGGCCCACAGGAAAGAGTTCCTCAGCCTGTGTGCTGTGCCGTGAGGGTCACAGGTCAGCTGGGCTCCTGCTGGGCAGCTTATCATCTCCATGGTGCCCCGACGCTCAGCCTGGTGTGGAGCGCAGCACCTTTGAAGCTCTCAACCGGGGCTCTACCCCATCCTTCTTGCCCTCCCAGAGGCTGACATCTCCTGCACCCCACACACCTGCCCTCAACAGAGCTCAGCAGGCAGTGACACAGCTGCCCCACACTGGGCTCTGAGCAGTGTGTGCTGTGGAGCTGGCTGCAGCCATCCTGTCTTGGCTCACTGTGCCGCCCATGTATTTTGTGAGCAGCGTGGCCCTGCCTTGGTGCCTCTGAGTCCCTGTGTTTATCTTCCTCCTGGGTCTCGGTGTTGGGCCTACAGCCCAGAGCGGAACCTGGCCAAGGGAGGGAGAGAGATCAGGGACGAGGCCGTGGGGGCAGTGAGGTGTGACTGTCTCAGCCTGCAGACCGGAGGCCTGGGCCCCTGGAAGGGGCAGGCTGGTGCCTGGAGCCAGTGGTGCTGACAGCTGTGGCAGCGCCGTCTGGTCACATGGAAGAGCGTAGGGACTTGGATCGTGGGTCCCCTTGGACCCATAATCTCCTGGGCCCTGGCAGCAGGCCGGGCTTGCGCATGTCCTTCAGGAGGTGTGGTGGGCAGGCAGGCAGCCCCAGGATCCCCCCTGCAGGGAGCCAAGTCCAGCCCCTCGGCACCGTGCTGGCAGTGTTGGGGCACAGGCTGCAGGGAGAGTAGGTGGTGAGCAGGAACAGCCGCAGGGACACCCATGCTGCCCTCAGAGATGGCCGCCTGGCACTGTGAGAGTGAGGGCATCACGGGAGCCACAGAGCCATGCCAGTCCACACGCGAGACTTGGTGGGTCTCTGACGGAGTCTGCTGGACTCACGTCCTCCCTCTGCACTGAGACCAGGACAGTGTCGCTGCTCACACCCATTCTCTGCTGAAGGGGGACAGGGACAGGACCTGCTGCCTGAGCCATCATGACCTGAGGGACCGCGCTTGGCGGTGGAGGTACAGCAGGGCCTAGGCACTCGCCGTCCACAGGCCGGACTCCCTTCTCTTGGCCCGGGCCCCAGGCCCTCAAGGGCCCTGACTGTATCATGGTCTCAGCTTTTCCTGCGCTTCCCTGGGTCCCCAGGAAGCTGGTCAGAGCCTGTACCACCCTCCTCCTGCTGAGGAAACTGAGCCCGGAGAAGTATGGGGCGGGAAGGACGTGTGGCAGGTCCTGTCACAGGAGCCAGCTCCTGTACCAGGCCTGGCCTCTGGCTTCCCAGCCTCTGCTCTCCTCGCCCTGACTCCTGCTGTGTCCCATAGCTGCTCCCCAGCCGGCAGATTTGTCTCCTGTGGTCAGCATCACCCTGCGCGCCTCCCAAGGGCGTCTGGTTTGGTTCTTTCTCAGTGTTACATTTCTGAGGCGTGTGGTTCCCAACACCCACCCTCCTCCTCTGTCCCTCCTTCTCCTTCCTTTTTCTTTTTTTCCCCAACAGGGCCTTAGCACTGAATTATATCCCCAGCCCTTTTTTATTGTTTATTTTAAGACAGGGTCTTGCTAAATCAATAATTTGTCCTGGCTGGGCCAGATCTTGTGATCCTCCTGCTTCAGCCTCCCACAGAGCTGGGATTACAGGTGTGCAGCACCATGCCCAGCACCTTGGCCTTCTTTATTATAGATAATTTGTTTATTTAAAAGAAAACATTGCATTTATTAATTAAAAACATTACACGTTCCCAGGAAGGCGCAAAGAAATGCAGGGACCCAGCCTGTCTAGTGTCGCCCCTTGCACATCTGGGACATCGGCAGGGCCCGTGCTCAGCTGTGCTTCCCCGCACGGCTGTCACAGGTGGCCTCATGCCTGCCTGGAGCCAGCTGGAGGCCACACCCTGGCCAGCAGGCGCCTTGGCTGTGCTCCTGGGCCTTTGAGGCTGGATCTTGTTGCCCTGCTCAATGTCCCTGAGTTCCCCGGTTCTGCACTCAGCACCCCACGTCCCTTTGGACGGCCACGTAGCTGTCTGTGGGGTGGGTGTGCCCACTGTCCTCCCTGTCACCCACTGCAGGGCGTGTGGACTGCTTCCAGCCCGTGGCTGCCAGGCGGGAAGCTGCTGGGATCACCAGGCCTGTGTGTGGACCTGAGCTTCTTGCGGTGCAGGGCAAAGACCAGGAGGCAGATTCTTAGCCACGTGGTGAATTCCTGTTTCGCCTTTAAGGGGGAGTTTAGAGGGGCCACATGGGCACCCACTGGCCGTTACCTCCTGCATCTGATGTTGTTGCTTTCTTCTCACTTCCTCTCAGGGCGCAGGGCCTCTCCCTGGGTTCGATTTACATTTTCTAACAGCTAGTGGTGCTGAGCTGCTTTTGATGGGCGTATTTGTAGGTGCTCTTTGATGAAATACCAAGTCATGTTGTTGGCCCATTTTGTAATTAGTTTTTTACGTTGAGTTTTGAATGTTCTTCATATATTTCAGATACAACTTCTTGGCCAGATATGTGATTTGCCAATGTTTTATCTCAGGCTAATTTCTGTTTTTATTTTTTAAATATTCTCTTCATGTTTTTATTTTTCTGAGTTCTGATTTATCAAGTTTTCCTTGATTTTGGTATCAAGTCTAAGAATTCTTTGGCTGAATGCAGGTCCTAAAGATTGTCTCCTGATTTTGTTTCTGAAAGATTTATAGTTTCATATTAAGCCTGGGATATATTTTGAGATAATTTTCTGTGAGCTGCAAAGTTTGTGTGGAGGTTTCTGTTCACACCTACAGGCACATAGTCACGCGAGCACGTTGCCGGAAGTCTGTGCCTCTTCCCGGAAGTGGCCGTCACACATTGCCGAGAATCTACAGTGTGTGTGTCCCCTGCTGGTCTCCACTCTGGCCTGTGGGTTGGCCTGCCGTCCTGTCTTTCTAGTTCAGCCATGCGGTGAAACCCGGCAGCTGGTTCCTTCTCTATTTTTCCTGCTGTTTTAGGACATTGTCATTTCCACTTTAGAATAAGCTTGCCAACTGTTCTCTAATCTCCCAAACTTTGCTGGGATTTCTCCAGCGACTGTGTCCCGTGTGTAGGTTATTAGGAAGGGCCGACATCTTTGCTGCGTTGACTCTTCCGACCACGAGCACAGTGTGCCTCTTCGATAGTGTGGACCTTCTGTTTTTCATTGCATTATTACTTTGTGTTTTCAGCGTATGGATTCCGTGCATGCTTGTTTCTTTGGAGTGATGGTAAATGATATTGGATTTCTGATTTTGTTTCTCAAATGCTTGTTCTTAGCTTACAGAAAAATGGCTCTTTGTGTGTTTATCTGGTAACCCTTGGCTTTGCTGAATGCACATTCTGGTTTAAGAATTTCTGTAGTAGCCTCTGGGATTTTCTAGGTGGAGAGCCCTATCCTCGGGAAATGCAGACGCCTCATCCTCCCTTTCCCTCCATCTGCCACTCTGCCATTCTGGCCTTGCTACTCTGACCAGCACGGGGTCATCTGCCTGCCTCAGCCTTGGTGGGACACAGGGGTCCCACTGGAGGCATGAGGTCGCTGTGAGTGCCTCGTGGTGCCCCCATGCCACGATCGTTCAGAATTTCATCATAATGGGCCCTGGAGTTTGCCAAGTGTTATTTCTGCCGCAGTTGATGTGTGGCTAGGAGGCAGCTCCTTCAGGCCGTCGATGGGGTAGCTTGTGTTGGTGTACTTTGAATACTCAGTCTGCTTTTTGTACTGACATCCTACTTGGCCAGGGCGTTTAATTCTCTCTGAGCATTTCTGGGGCAGGTGGGCTGCATCTTTGTGCGTGTGTGTTTTATGTTCAGGTTCACCAGAACTATCGCCCATGGCTGTCTTTTGTCTTTGCTGGCTTGGGTATCGGGGCAACATGGGCCTCACAAAGTGAAGAGGATGGCGTCCCCTCTTGTTCTGCTGCTGGTGGTGACTGTGCAGAGTTAGTTGTAATTTCTTAACTGTTTGTAAGCTCCTCGGTGCAGCCATCTGGGCCCGAAGATTTCTTCACTAGCTGTTAAATTACAAATTCAGTTTTTCAAAGGTTGTAAGACTATACATTTTTCAGTTTTGAAAAGCAGGAGGCAGGTGCTAGGAGAGCTCCTTGAGCGAGTAGCAGACAGAAATGAGAAATGCAGATAATGAGGGTTGTTGTGGCCGAGGTTTCTCTCTTAGAGAACACCCCATTTACTGGGCAGCTCATAGGGGGCAGAAGTTCATCTTTATTTTTATACGTTATATTCCTGACACATTTGGGGCATTATTTTGATAAATTTTACCATTTCCTATTTCTCTTACTCTTTTTAAAATCTTGGGCTTTACAATGCAGAAATACTTCTGGTCCTAACCTAGTTTCCACTCTCTCTTCTCCTCCCTATTGAATTAGAAGTGTGTTTCCAAAGTCAATTTCTTTTCTTTACACAAGAAGCCCTGAAAACTAATGGAGACTGAAAACCTCTTCCCAGCATGGTCCCTCCTCATGTGAAGAAAGTCTTTAAACCATCATGATGCACTAGCAAGAAAATCGCAGGGTCCCCTTTGACCCGCGTCGGTGTCTGCCAGGGGAACCCCAGTTAGAGAGTGGTGGAGCTTCAGAACGCAGCTCCCCTTGTAACTGCTGACTGGCATACGTGGGGATCCAGGGAATGTATCTGTCTGCAGTGCTGGTTTCTGCCCTGTGGACTTTGGCAAATACCTCTCCTTCGGGGATTTAAAAGGAGATTTGCTCCCGGTCACACTGATAAAAAGCTTCCATACACGTTGTTTCAAAACAGCATTCTGTGTTAGGCTGGGAGGGAGATGTGTGTTAGGTCACCCAAGCTGTTGGAAGTAATTTGTCTTTGTGAAATGTACTTTGCTAACATTCCAAATGCATTTCACTTGTTAAATAAACAACAGATACCCTGGAAAGCACCTGTTTGATCGCTCAGGTGGTGGACTGGGTGACAGCTGTGGAAGGGACCGGGCCACTGGGGTCAGCCGTAGTGCCTGGGAGCAGAGAGCACCTCTCCCTGCAGCGGAGAACCTCCAAAGGAGCCCCTGCTCATTTAGAAGTGCACCGCCATCCCAGTGCTTAGCGCGGGCATGGAGAGGGATGCTGCCTGTCTGCTGGAAGCAGGATCCCAGTACGCAGAGGCTGAGTCTGCTGGTGATGTCTTCTTGGACCGCTATTTATTTTACCTTCAGAACATGTGAAACACCACTGATCTTCTTATTTCTTAGGGGATGAACAATTGCAGCATTAAGAGACATTTAAATAACGCTTAATTTTTGAAGCAAAGAGAATTAGATAAATGGATGTGCTCAGCCCAGACTGCAGATCAGTTTCTGTTTTTGAAGTTGGATGTATGATATTCGTCTATTAAGTGCATTCTTTTATTTGATCCATTCTTATTCCCATTAGACGCCATTTCCTGTGATGTTTTATATTGTTTGCGTGCAGCTCTTCTTACCTTAAACTACAAGGCTGGGGGGGATAATTAGATTTATAGCTTTGTACTTTTAGTTTTCAATTTAAAGGTCTATTCAAAAATAACTCATGATACACACGAGACTATTTTCTTCTCAAATTAGCTTATCAAAGTGAAATACCTCTTAGGCAATTTTTCTGGTGGTGAGGAAGGCGGACGGCCAATCCCATAAACAGAGTCATCACCCGAGCCTCACCTGGGGCTTCTGCACCCTTTCCCAGGACCTTGGCGGGATGCATCTCCCAGAGAGTCCCAGGCCCCTCATGGACGTCACCCACTGTCGCTCTGAGCAGGGTCTGTAGGAGCCCGGAGCAGCCACACCGGCTGCAGGCAGGTTCTGTGCTAGACTGCAGAATGGCGCTCCCTGGCCTCCCGCTCCGAGGTCTGTACTGCTTCCTGGAGGCCTGAGCCCAGCCTGTGCTTTCCTGGGAGTGGGGAGAGGGTTTAAGAGAGCACCCTGGAGGACACAGGACCCAGCAGGGGATGCATCCTGCCCTGGAGGGCCCTTCACTCCGGAGCCAGCAGCTCAGCTGGGTGTCCTCCAGGGCCCGCCCAGCATGTGTGGGGCGGCACTTCCCCTCCCCTGCCCCGTCTGTGTGGCACAGAGGACCGGGCAGACCACACAGCACATGGAGGGCTGGCAGTGGCTCTGGACATGTGCACACCCAGGCGGGTCTCGGCTGGGAGGTGGGGTCCAGCGCTTGCCGCTGTCTTTCTCTCTCTCAGTGTGGCTCAGCCTCAGAGTCTTCTGTCCTCTCCACGCCACACCACAAGGGCCCTGGTTCCCCATCTCATGAGTGAGCATGCTGAGAGGTAGGGTTGGAGATGGCGGGTCTCTTGTCACTCCTGTCCCCGGTGCCAGAGGTGAAGAAGTCCTGTCGTGTTGGGGCCCTGCTATGTTTCTGCTTAGGAAACCCTGAATCCTAGGTCCCCTGTCCTCACTGGCACCTGATGTGGTATCCCCTGTGTGCTGCAGCGGTGACACAGCCCATCCCAAGTGGTTGCTACCTGGGGACATCACTAAGAACCTGTGTCCCCAGTGATGCGGCAGAATTCTGTGGAACCCTGGGGCTGTTCTTGGTGTCTGACCCTCCTGCTGCTGTCCAGGTTCCCAGTGACCCTGTGGGGAATCATCAGATCCTGGTAAAAATGGCGGCAAGACTCTCAAATTAACACCAGGCATGATGCTTCAGGTGAGATAAAAGTAACTTAAAAGCTACCCCATCTCTGTGCCTGTGTGTGGAACATCCCGGCCCCTCGCTTGGCAGGCTCACGGGGTAAGAGTTTGGTGTTAGAAACTTTGCCCAGCTTGTGACACAGGGTGAAATGACTTTGCCTTCCCCAAAGATGTCCCCGCCTGCTGAAGCCCCACTTTCGGTGCCAAACCTCGTTCTGAAGATGCAACATGGGAGGCAGGGATGGTGCCAGCTTCTGGCTGTGTGAGCCCGGCCAGTGCCACCTGTGGCTTCATCTGCAACTCAGCACCTGTACGACGGAAGGGACACTGCCGCCTCCAGCCAGGACCCGAGGACTAAATGAACCCTAGACAAGGGCCATCTAAAGCATGAGCTCTGACCCGGCCAGCATGGGTGTTCGAACCCTTTCCGGCTCTGCTCCTGCCATGTCGGGGAAGCAGAGGCATTAGTTAAATGCCCTGTGCATTTCCAGCCTGTGCAGCAAAGCCCTGCAGTGCCCCAAGGCAGCTTTCATCCTGCAGAGCCCCCAGCACTCCCAGCCCCCGAGAGGACTTCACAGACCCCTCTTTCGGGGCGCCTGGGAGGACTTCACCAGTCTCCCAGCACCTCGGGCCATTCAGGGGCCCTGTCGTGGCTCCTCCAGGAGGGAGCAGGCCAGCAGAGCCACCGAGGTGGCTGTTACACCTGTGAGAGATAAACACCAGATAAATACCGTGACCAGGAGTCAAATATTAGGCAATTATGAAACCTCAGACAGGATGATGAATTCAGCCCCTTTCTCTCTCATTGGTGGTGGATTCAGTCAGAAACAAAAATCTTGCCCTGAGGGGAGGTTGTGCTCCTTCCTGGGTGGCGAAGTCACCAAGTCACCCAGGATGTGGAGGTGGCCTCTTATCTGTTGGCGTCTGTCTCTGAGGAAGTCCGCCGGCCTGTCTGGTGCTGATCAGGAGATCCTAGCCTATCCACGCAGCCAGGCACTTGGGTGATGGCATTAAAATCCCCACATGAATATTTGCAGACCATGCAGAGCTGGGAGCCCTCTGCCAACCCCAGCTCTGTGCCTCAGGCTTCCCCTGCCATGTCAGTGAGCCACACCCTTGGAGAATAGTCCTGCCCCGGGGACCCCGAGTTTCCGAGAGAAGCAGGGCTCCTGCCGGCTGGCGCCACTAAAACTACTCTGTCTGCTTTGGATCCCTAAATCGAGAGGGACTTTATTTCCAGTCTGTGAAGTAGGATCGGTAGCCATGTGTCCCCATGCCTGTACTACCTGTGTGTGGCTGAGTATGGCAGCCAGTGCCAGCTATGGCAAATGTGCCCAGGCTGAACACCCAGGGTTCAGGCCACTCCCCACAGTGGAGGCCTCCTCGAGGGCAGGTGGAGCCCGTGATTCCCAGGATGGTGATTGCTACGCCCAGGGAAGGAAGAGCACCCTCCCTGTGAGGAAGAAGGTCCAGAGCCCTAGCTTGTGGGCCTTGCCAGGAACCCAATAGGTCTTCAGTAACATAAACAAGCCTCACAGCTAAGGAAGAGGGAGAAGAGAGAGAAAAGAAAAGAAGAATAAAGGCCCAGAGGACCAGGGCATGAAGAGCAGAGGGGCACAAGGAGATTGGACTTGGAGGAGGAAACAGGGAGGAGATGAGGGGAGGGAGAGAGCACCGGAGTCACGGAATTCTGCAGCAGGAGTGAGAACTTGTGGACGGCTTGGCAGAGCTCTCCTCCACTGAAATGTGACCCATAACTGTCCAACAAGCCCATGAGGCAGATGTCACTTCCACTCCTTGCACTGTGGGGGCTGTGACTCTGAAGATGATGTTCCCAGGATCCACTGCTGCTGAAAGGCTGGCAGACCTCAAGGTCCTGTCTGCTTCACCCTGATTTGCTCTGTTACCAGCCTGCATCAGGCCTGGTGGACTTTTTCTAGGTTAGATACTGTGCACTTTAATCTTTGCAGGTCTCTGTCACAGTCACCCAACTCTTCTAAAGCCATGAAGCAGCCACAGACAATATGTAAGTGAATGGTCATGGCTGTATAGCAGTAAAACTTTATTTATAAAGCAGACAGTGGGCCAGATTGTCTGGAGATTCTGTGTTTATAATGCCTGGCTTTCATGAAAGAGGGCAGCTCTGCAAGAGGAAAGGGCTCCACTAGAAAGAGGAGGGCGTGGGATGGAAGAAGTTAACGCAGCTGGCTGCCCGTGATCACTGCAAGGGCTGCTCTTTTCCTTTTCTTTTTTATTAATGATGATTATAGTACACAATGATTACACTTATTGTGGGGAGCTGATACTGTACATGACACAGCTTCATCTTCTTCATGATCCCTTCCTTTCCTCTCCTTCCCCCTCCTTCTTTCCTTTGGTCCCCTTCCCATTTATAAAAGATCTGTCTCCTTGTCTCCTACGCTTTTTTATTTTGCCCTTAATTTATTTGTATGATGGGTTTAAGAGAAACCATGCGGCGGTGAGGCTGAGAGCCACAGTGGCCTCCAGGTGCTGGCCACGCCACAGCGGCACAAGCCCAACAGCTGGATGATGGTGGTTCTTGAGGATGGCCACTCAGATTCATGACCAAATTCATATGTTCCAAAATGACCAAGTAAGTGACATACTGCCTGGGTATTTGCTTTCTATGTGCCGGAGCGGCTCCACCATCCCTCCCAGGCTGGGCGCGGAGCCTGGGCAGGCACAGCACATGCTGAGCTCACAAAACTCTGCGTGTCACTTCAGGGCACTCCTGACTTCCCTCCTGGAAGGGAGTCAAGAGAACTGTTCAGGGTCTTTTGTTTCCTACAAAAATATCGAGTGGGAGTGGGTTGATTTTTCAACCAGTGAACGTCATGCAGTGGAGGCTGACTTAATCGTTTGTACGTGTGCTTGGATTTTCTCAGAAGCAGTAGACTATTTCATCATGATCTGCCTCTGCTCACAGTAAAATACCCGAGGACAAGCTGGGAGGTGCTGTGTTAGAACAAACGTGAGCCTGCATTTGCAAAGCCTTGATCTGCATCAGCAATTCAGAGACGTGGCAACTGCGCCCTTGCCCAATGAGGAGGTGGTTCAAGGACAGAGCCGCTGATGCCTCTGAGAGTGGGACTTGGCTCCTCTCTCCGCGCCTGGCGGAGGGTCCTCCAAAAGCATTACCGTCATTCTCTTTGTCTCCCCTCTTTCCCATCATTGACAGCTGGTCTCACCTCTGTCCCTTTGTGGCACCAAGCAAAATTTTTTCTTGTCCCTAAAGTGTCTCTTTTGAGCGTCCTGCTTCCTAATTGCCTCCCCTCTGCACAGCAGTCTCACAAAACAACAAAACAAACAAAACAAAGCAAAACTTCTAGCTCACCATGAAAGCGTCTCCCTGGATCGTAGGCATTAGCATGTTGGGGCTGAGGGCCATGTGACTTTCTCTGCCCTTCTCACTCAGAGAGAGTGTTGGGGAAGTCCTTGGTGTCCTTGGGGGTGGCCCAAGCGTGGACCTCAAAGCCTGGAGAGTCTCGTGGCTCTTCAAACTAAACTCAAAGGCACAGCTGCCATTACTGGGAAGGTGCTGTGTATATGTTTATCCCAGAAATCAAATCTTCACGAATCAGCTGCCTGTTTCCTCTCATCTGGCCTCCATTGCTGGCCCAGCTGCATGGAGTCAGTGGCCACCACCTCAGGGACTGGGAACCATGGACCCCCAGGGCCCAGGAGGCCAGGCCCTGTGGGAGACAGGTGGAGGACGTTAGGGTAACCATGGAAATCCTCAGGCTAGCTGAGATCTGGGGAGAGAAAGTCCACATTGCTTTTCCTAAGCATGGGGAACCAGCTTGAAGCCACCCAACCTTGTGTCCTCGCTCTGGCCCTGAAGCCCTGCAGGGACAGTGGCCAGCACCCAGTGGTCAAATCTGGCCTAGGGCTACTCTGTATGGCTGGCGATCTAAGAATGAGTTTTACATTTTCAAATGGTTGGAAAGCAAATGAAAAGATGAGTGTTATTTTATAGCACATGCAACTGTGTACATTTCAAATTCCCATGTGCCTCATTAAAGCTAGATAGGAGCCTAGCTGCAGCTGGACACTGGCCTTTGGCTTGGTGCTTCCGGCCATGTAGTCAGCAGGGGTCCAGGCCCCACCTGAAGAAACTGCTACCCAAGCACTTCTGTGCCGATCATAGTGCAATAAGGTTCAGACTTTTTGCTTTCACGTTTCAGTTACCTGTGGCCCATTTCAATCTGAAAATACTAAATAGAAAATTGAAGAAATAAACAATTCATGTTTTTTTTGTTTTGTTTTTTTTGTACTGGGGATCGAACTCAGGTCCTTGTGTTTGCGAGGCAGGCAGTGGCGCCACTGAGCTAAATCCCTGCCCTGAATTTGTAAGTTTTGGGCTGCCAGCCATTCATAGTAGCATGATGAAATCCCCAGCTGTCCCACACTTCCTGTCTGGACTCTAGTCACCCCTTGTCCGTGTCCATGCTGCATGCAACCTGCCCGCTGCTGGTGGCTTTGTGGCTATCTCAGCAGCAGAACTGCCACTGTGCCTCTATGCTGTATTCAGGTGACCCTTACTTTACTAACTGGCTCCCAAACTTAAGGGCAGCGGAGCGAGTGGTCTATTATAGCACACAGTGTTGCTGCAGCTGTGGTGTTTGTTTCGGTTATTGTTCGATTCTTACTGTGCTAATTGATGAAGTAAACTTTAGTAAACTTCAGGCTCACTGGTGCACACAGGGCTTGGTGTTGTCACCTGTGGATAGGGGTGACTGTCATTGCAACCGAGACTGGCCTGAAAAGTCAAACCTGTTCAGTGCCTATTTGTGTAGAAGCCACACTTGCCCACTCCCATGTGGATATTGCCTGGCCCCTGGCTTGTTTTCTCTCTGGTCTGTACTGTCTGCTGTGAACAGCTCCTGAATTCTGGAGACACAGCACTGTGATTCAGCAGGATCTCCAACCTGCAGTGTGGGTGTCTTCAAAATGCAACCAAGATATAAATGTTGCTGGATAAATGGGAGCGCACAAGAGGTGATTGACATTGGAGACCCAGGCACAGCGGGCAAACCAGACTGACCCCAATTTCCAAAAAGGCATTGCATTCAAGATCCTGGACCCAGGGCCCAGGCAGATTTAGATGCACAGGGCCCAGCCTGAGGCAAACATGGCCCTCGCCTCACTTTCCTGGCGTCTTTGTCAGCTCTGGGCTGGCAGAGCAGGCTCCTTTGTGCATGGTGGCTGCAGACAGAGGCAGCCTGGCTGATTTGCAAGTGATGGCTGTTTGTTTTTCCTGCCATTCTACACCAAGTTTCTGGAAGCTAACAGATAGCTGGATTATGTACAATAGTCTATCAGCTCAGAGAAAGAAGCCTCCCAATCAGAACTTTGAGTTTAGCAGGAAGGCAGGTCCGGGTGGGACTGACCTCTCTCCCCTGTCCTCCCTCTGAGCTGTGGCTTTACAGTTGGCTAACTTGGCAGTAATTGAATCTGAAGGTTGAGTCCTTGTTTTCTAAGAATTGCCAATGGAGTCCCGTAATCCGCTCCGACCTCTGCAGTGAATCAGGACTTTGGTTTATTGACATGTAATTAGATCAAAATGTCACTACATCAATGCCAGTGTAAACAGCGCTGAGTAAGTCGCTGATCCTTACAAGATCAGCCACCTAATCTCCGCCCGGGTGCGGGTGCTCTGTCAACACTCCACTCGAGGGCTGCGTCTCCAGACGCCCGCCGGCATTGCGACTTCCTCGTGACTCTTCTGGGACGTCTTCGCCATTGGAGGGCATGGGGCAGTGAAGCTGCAGCGGGGACACACGATCTCCTCTCCTCATTCCTTTCTTGGGTCACTGTGGGACACGTAGGGGAAGCAGAAAGGTGGGACTGAGGAAGTGCCCGCATGCCTGTTGGCCACGAGTCCTGGTCTCCCCTTCCCTTTACTTACACGTCTGGGGCGTGGATGCACACACTCTCTGTCTAAACAGCAGGTGTGGTGGTGCACACCTGCCATCCCAGCAAGCTCTTTGGGAGGCTGAGGCAGGAAGATTGAGGGTTTGAGTCCCACCTAAGCAACACAGTAAGAATTTGTCTTGAAATAAAATACTTAAAAACGGGGCAAGTGATACAGGCTCAGTGACAGACCACCCCAGTGGGTTCTAGCCTTAGAACCACACAAGACAAAACAAAAACGCAAACAACCCTTTGGATGCTTGTTGGCGTCACTGTATCTGACCGACCGACACGTGGCAGGCTGGCGGAGTTTAAAAGCCACCAGAGTCCCTGACAGAGGTCATTGCGGCCACGGCCTGACATGGGCCTGTGGACACTGCTAGCCCAGGTCCACACCAACCACCTGCTGTACCCCAGCACCTTCTGAGGTTGGTACCTCCCTCCTGCACCACACCAGCCCCGGACAGAGGCTCTGTCTCCGTCTCGCCAGATGACACCCAGGCTGGGACCGGGGAATTCAGCCATGGGACGCCTCGCCTGCACCTTTGCCGGTGATGTTGTGACAACAGTGGATGGCGTGAGGCGTCCCGGTCATTAGGGTTGGTCCTTCCAGTCATGGCCGCCAACTCAGGACTGATGGGTGGGGGAAAATCCAGCTGGGTCAGCAGGCAGCTGGAGACACTGGCCTCTGGGACCACGGGCACCAGGGTGGCCTCCCTGCTCCCTGGTGTGCCACTGTGCACCGCCGTCTCCACCTCCAGTGTGTGGCAGAGCGCGTCTCCTGCAGTGCCTCAAACCTGGCTGTTCTCGTTCTCCTCTACCAGCTGTCCTCGCTGTCACACACCGGTGACCCCTGGCCTTTCAGTAGTAACGTCCCTGTTGTTGAGTGACCTCACATCTACCCTGCCACAGCTCCAGGACGTCGAAGAGGGATCTGCTCAGGAGAGACTGTATTTTGATGGAGCAGAGAGTGAATTTAATTTCCAAGACACTGGAAGGAGCTCCTGCTTGGAGTCAGTGAATTTCTTCTGCCAGCATGCGAGAAGCAGACTGAAGGAGAGTGCAAGTCTTTAGGGTGATTTGGCCCTAGGAGAGCATCCTAAAGAGTACACAACACAGTGTAGGGGACCCTGCCTAGCACTTCGGGGCAGCAGAGAGCACTGTCTGTCTCGTGACCGTGACTAGCAGGGCTGCACCCCTTCCAAGGTGAGGAGCGCTAGCAAGACCCGGGCTGTCCGTTGGGGTGCAGCTGGCCACCGAGGACCCTCCCTCTTTGGCTGCCCGGAGCTACTCCAGGCTTTGGCTTGTTTGGCTATAAATGGCAAGGGCTCCTCCTCCATGACTCTGCTGCAGTGGGGCAGCGACTTCCGCATACATGTGATTGGCTATGGAGAGGACTTTGAAGGTGATGGGCTTGCTTTAAAATGTCACATCCATCAGTCGGCGTTCGACATTTGGTGGAAAGATCGAATAGCACACCTTATCTTCTTTACGCTGAAGACACACTGCGTTTCATTTTATTTTTGATAATTAAAAGAAAGTTTTTTAAAAAGAAATCTATACAGTTAGAAAAGAACTGAGTACAGAGCCATGTGCCGTGGGGCACAGGTCTGTCCCCATAGGTGGCTGGGCCCACTGCTTCCCTGGCCTACATGCCTGTGATTATGCATGTGTGAGCAGCTCTGTCTGTGCTCGTGGATTCGTGCTGTATGTGCATGTGGTTGGATCAGAGTGTATGGTGGATGTTGACAGTTAAAGAATAAATTAACAGCAGTAAAAGACGAGTTGTCACGGATCCCCCTCAACAACTCCCCTTACTTCATGCTCCCACGTCCTGCAGCAGCTCTGGAGCCCTCTCTCCTGAGTGTCTTTAGTTGCGCTGTCCTGGCTGCCTCGATGTCCTGAATGGATTTGAAACTTTGGACCAGGGGTTTAGCTCAATGGCACCATGCTTATCTTGCAACCACAAGGTCCTGAGTTCAATCCCTGGTACCAGACAACAACAACAGCAACAATTTTACCTCTCATGTTCATTTTGACTTTGGGAGGAGCTGGGATTTGCACAGTGACAGATCCAGTGACTAAAGTGGATGAGGACACAGCATCATGGTTTTATGAGTTGCCTTTCTGTTGGGTGGTGCTTGGCAGCAGCAGTCACTGTGTTTTTTATCATACCTGGTAAAGACATTCAGGAAAGAGGACTCCAGAGCTGCTGCAGGAAGTGGCAAAAACATGGGATGAGTGTGCTCAAAGCAAGAGGGAGGCACTGGAGAGGAATGAATGGAGATTTCCCTTTTACTGATGTGAAT